TCCGGCCCACATCAATCCCTTATCAAAACGCGCCACGTAGTCAACTTCCTTTTGCAATCGTACCGGTCTTTGAATGCACCTTGGTTAACCTAAGCAGGATTCAGCACCAGATACTAGTTCTATCCTGGCACCATACGTACGGTACCGACATCACATGTCACACTGCTCCTCCCACGACTAGAAAAAAGGAAAGGGGCATAAACATGAGAAAGGGGAAAATCGAACTAAAATTTACGCCAACTTCGCCGATATCACATGAAGGATAAGCGATTCCATCGGGAAAAACCACCACGTGAGCTTTCCCTCTATCAGTCTTGAGAACCAGAACATCTAGCCGAAATCCCTATTCCCACCAACTTAAGTTCGCATGCCTAGGAAATGTAGGAGGATTTGATCCTTTCATCCCATTCACATCTTGAACTTACACAATAGCAAATAGAAGGGCGTGAAAGAAGTGAAAATCAGGATTTTGTCACCGTATTTTCAAAAAGTAAAAGAAATATGTGTTAGTCTAGAGAGAACCGTTCCTAAGGGGTCGTAAGCGCGTGAGTGATGACAGCTTAAACATTGTATCCAGAGATATTCAGGAAAAATTTCGTTTTAATCGGCGTAAAAGTCTCAACTTCTTTATATCCCTAAGAGCCTAGCTCGAAACCACTCTTTCGATACAAAAAAAAAACATGAATAGGGAAAATGTTGTGTCTTGGAGGATATTTCAGTAGGGCTATAAATACTATTCAAGAAATATAAGTGAAAAAGGGGCAGTACGCAAAAAGAACCAGGATGAAATATGAAGACAGAAAATGAGAAAAAAATAGAAAAAGGTGGAAATTCCGATCGAGAAAACAGAGGAGTGAACCAGAAAAGAAGGGTCAGCCGATGCTAGACAAAGCTGGCACAAAAATAAGTAGCACTCAAGAGGCCCGAGCACGAGAAAGGAATCAAGAAAGGAAAGGAATATTGAAAAATTTGCAAAGTAATGTTTAGGTAGTAAGGTGGGAGGAAACAGTGGGTATTCAACACCAACGGGAACCCTGTAAAGATTCACATTTTCATGCTTCAACCCACGCCTTTCAGGAGCACACAGAATGGGAGCTGGGACAGTTTAGGAAAAAGTTGGTAACGATAAGCTCAAGCAGAAGAATTAAGGAAGCAACAGGAACAAGACAAATCAGGAAGGGGGTCCACTAACCGAATGAAAACATGGACTCAAAAGGGCAACAAGCAAACGTAAACAACTGTCAAGTAGAAATAAATAAACGATTCTGAAAAAGATGAGAAATCTGACCTGTGTCTGAGGCGAGCTGCTCGTCCGATTCCACAAGTGCGAACGAACTTTTGTAGATACGATCGGAACTCAGTCGCATCTATTCGTCGACCCTCATGTTTATCAACAAAGGTATAGGACTATAATCATAAAAGTGTAAAAAAGATCAATGTTTCGTATATCGAAAGAGAAACATCGAGAAAGTCACCTTCGTTCTCGATTCGTACAGCTGCATTCCAACAATTCTTACTCCCAACGTCGCACTAGTCGATTCACGACATTTCCTAAGTTGACGATGGCGTTTAGACTCAGACGCATCGTCTCCGTGTTGCCTAAAGTGAACAGTGTTCTGAAATCTACCGAATGGTCCCATGGTTTCCTACCTGGTTCCTATTTTGAGATCAAGGACACATGGCCGTGAAAACGTGGCTACAATATTGTTGAGTAAAATAAACCACGAATAAGACCCTTCCAGCAGCTTATGAACTACCTAAACCAGTACCCTCGAAAGTAGGTAAAATAGTATCACCTAAGCAAAAACGCCTTACTTTGCTTTGACACTCAGCCGCCCAGTAGTTGTTCGGGACGCGATCCGTGATCACCTCAACTCTGCCCGAATCACCAATGCGGAAACGAACAGAGCCCGATCTTTTCAGTTTGGGATGACATTCTACGACCGGCTCAGCGACCAAATGTAACTCGCCGTCATCGTCCACGGTGGCGCACACTCTGACTCGTCCTTAAACCGGTTGACATACTAAGAACAAAATGGAGGCGAAAAGTCAAATAATAGCAAGTCGAACCGCAATAGTCCGGTACAAATCTCCTCAAATTGTCCCCCATTAGCTCGTAGAAAGCGAGTTCCCTTGTGTTCATTGGCTTTGCAACATGGCCGTTGCATTGCAGTAGTCCGAAATGACCTCCTACCTGAAAAAAAATGTTCAAGAAACATTGAGAATGAGAACGAAATTCAATGTGATGGCAAGATATCCTGATGGAAAGGACAACTTTTTTTAATTGAGCATCCAGAATTTTTTAATTGAACATCTGAACTTCGCCGGCAAAATTTTTCAAGACAGTTAGTTCTTCTATGAACTATTACGTCCCAAGTATTTCAATAATATGCCCAAACTTGCCGTTACCCCTTCGAAGGCGCCGAAGTATACCTATTCCTAAGAATATCTTTTTTAAAAACCCCAATCCACTGATGAGCATAGAGGATCGTGAGGACCGTACTCTGCATTATAAAAAGGTGAGAAGGAATTTTTTACCTACTGGATACTGATTCGACCAATCGCCAATGTTTTCTGAAGGAAGTTTTGGCTTTCTTCCTGTCTGCTCGTGAGCTGAGCACACAAATGATTGCGATGTTAAATGCCTTAAGGATTTTTAATGGAAGCCCACTGCATGGCGCATCTCAAAAAGGTTCTGAATAGCATCGAGTGCTCATTTCAATGCTCTTTTGTTTCCTATTACATCAATGAGGAGAATAAAGATTTGTATAGAAAACAAAAAAGTGTAAAAATGACAGAAGAGTAAACATTAAAAGGGATCAGCTGACTATAAAATCTCCAAACCTCGGACATAGTTATAGAGTACGGTAAGAGTTCTTCACCCAGCAATTAAGCGGGATTCTCGACTGAATTCCTCACACGCTATCGACAAAATGCCCCAACTCCTTCCAATCAGTCTGACTTTGAAGGTAACTTACTAACTTACTAAGTAAGTAAGAAAATCGGGAAGCTCAAAAACCAAACATAGGAAAAACAATGAAAGGTCGACACTGGGGATACATTTCAAAGCACAAACTTGTGAATCACTCGAATGCACCTGCCTTGTTTCCGTCAGGAAGCAAAGTACGCGTGCACGTCTCTTGCTACTAACCAGTACGGAGCAGTTTTCGCGATTTTTTACTCTCTAACAATCAAACACATCCCGAAAATCGGAAATAATTACGTCTGACCTAATCTCAAGCCCTAACGTATTTTCCACCTATTTCTTACCATAAAAAGAAAATTCTATAAAAATCTGAAGGAATGAAAAATAGGTGAAATAAAGCATTCTTTGAACCAACCTGATGTGGAAACCCAGATAACTCCATGTACCCGCGTCCACAACCGTCAGAAAACCAATTGAAGTATAACCGAGAATGCTGAAATGCGAAGTATTCATCTCGTGTACCACATAAAGCCAATGGGACCAATAAAAAAGATGAAGGTGGTCATCATAGCGCGTGCGAATTGCATGAAATGCAGTTTTCAGAAAAAAAAAACCGATCCCTCGAGAGAATTCGAAGCTGTCCGAAGGAAGTATAAAAAGATTCCATGGGAAAAACAAATGTCATACGAAACCAGAGGAAAGTGCGTAAATGCGAGATGGTCTCCTGAGTGGGTAATCACGGATAATCACATTCATCAACACCGGGAACAACGAAAGGAGAAAAGCACACTGAAAATGAGCGGAATTCTGTGACAGGAATAACAGGAAAAGAGAGGAGGCGCGCAGAAGTTGGGAACGGAAGAGGGAAAGACTGAAAGACGCGCAACGACGACGAGGAAATCGATGACAGCATGTACAGCCAAGCCACACGAACCCCCACGTGGGAGAGAGTATTTTGCATCATCGTCGTCAAAACAAACCTCCCCCCATGCGGCTAACAAATCCAATTTACTCTGTAGCTAAGTTGTCAGTAAATTGCCTTTGCTCAACCACATACTATAGGCTTAGCTGGCCTAGAGGATTAGGTCGCGCTATGGGCAGAGAATTACCTCGGCTTATGGGTGAAGAATGTCCCATGAACCAGCGAGAAGAAAAGACGGGTGACAAGTGAGCACTGCAACGGTATTTATACAGCAGTTATGAAAAATGAACGGAACAGCCAACAACAGGTTTTCTTTCAAGGAGAGAGGAAACGAAAATTGCGGTGATTCACAGCAGCATGGGTCCCCGTTGAGGTTACAGTTCTGTTCTGCTCTTCTCCGAGGCCAGGCCACCCTGCTTGGTCTGGTCTGAGTCCAACAAGGCTGCAAATCAAAATTTGCCATTACTCCCTCGAGTGTAAAAAGTCCCATTTCGTTTTTTTCCAAAACCCATTGCTAATGGTGGTCACGGGAGGTACCCGGGGATTCAATTGTCTTCGACCTCCAAACGACGTCCAATTAGTCCACAAAATCGACTCGACGCGCTAGGCAGCAGGCCGTTTCGAGCATCGCAGTGCTGCTCACGAAGCTCACCACTGATGGTGTAATATGAGAAATGGGTGGGGTGCGAGTATGAAGGAGAGGCAAGAGAAACGAGCGTCGACGCAGAGTGGACAGCTGGTTGGTGAGCTTCATTGAGGCACAAGAGAGAGGGCCGACTAGCCGGAGGGTGCGAGACAGTCGATGGCGGCCATCCGAAGCGGTCTGCTCGAAGTCCTTGCTCATGGAGAATGGCATCGAGTTCATGCTATGCTCGATCCAACGGCCATCACTTTACAGGTCAGTGACTTACTCAGTACTGTGATCTACTTTTGAAAAGTCATAACTGTATTTTACTCTGATGTAATTAACTTCCATGAAAGCCTCACCCATTTAAGAGCATAATCGAGCACTTTGTCAAGCCCTGTAAAAACTTAGAAAAGAACTTAGTCAGTTATTGTTGCTTGCACCTTCGTTAGAGAACTGTAGATACCGTAATCTCGTCAATCATTTCATTTTTTGATTTTTGTAAACCAAATTCCATGCTTATAATGGGAATTAAATGCTGGGTCCTATGTGCTTATTAACCTAGACACCTTCATCTTGTTGATAGTTTATGATATCAACGTTTTCTTCCCAAAATAGGAAGAGGAGGTTCCACCGTTGTAGTCAAGTGGTAAAGTAGGTACAGAACTTTAACTTCCTTCTCTGAATCTGCAAAATATTCTTGGATTTTCGTACAGTTCATTTAAGCTGTACGGTAAACAAATAAATACCAGTTGTTTACCTGCACATTTTCCTTCCTACTAATCGAACGTTCGTTACGCAAAACATTTTATGCACCCATCTCTATAGGCCATTGATCCCCTGCTTCCCGAGTAAGTAGCTACTTTAAAAGTTATGGGAACCACTGTATAACGGAAGATGCCTGCACAAATTCTATCTGCTGCAGCTGCCTCCATATTAGCTGCTAGCAGCGAAACCATAATCCTAGCGAAGCTGACAAATACCTCATTTCCAGCTCAGTAAACATGTCTTCTTTCTTATTTTCTTTTTACTCAGGTATGCAGCAACATTTGAATAGAATCATATGAAGCAATAAGACATATGACGTCTTGGATTTAATTAATAATTCGTTCTCTTTTTCACACTGAACAATCATTTCCAATGACAACCGAGACCAATCCCTATTGGACTTCAGGCGACGGTTATTTTTCTTCGTGCAACTACTCTGATATGTTGTATTTGTTACATGCAAGCTCTGGCATTCTTTCACTTTCCACCATGAACAGTCATTCCTAATGATATCGTGACCAATTTCACGGTGGCCAGAGCATGCATGTAACAAACCCATCAGATCAGAGAAACTGTACGAAGGAAAAATCACCGTCGCCAGAACTCTAGTAGGCTTGGCATTCCTAATGAGGAAATCAAAAAATCGCAATCATAAATTCCTGATATTCAGTGGGACCAGTTAGATCACCGAACAAACGTTGAAAATTCTTCAATGTTATACTGAGGTTTCAAATTTAACCTGAATCTCAAAGCCTTCTCAGTTGGGTTGCACTAACGATAACGTTAAAAATTGTGCAGCCAGATCTCGTTTCGAACGCTGATTTTTGAAATGTTGTGACTTGCATTGTAGAAAAATAGACGTTTGATATTGTCAGCGTTAAAACCAAACCACCAATTTGTTTAACCCATTGACGACCATGCAGTCCACATGTGGACTGCAGTTGTATTTTTTGTTTTATTCA